TCAGGCTTCACTCGCATTCTACAAACTCTGACCCAACAGATCCAACAGCAAAGCAGGAGCCGAACTCAGATCAGCACTACATTTAAAACTACTAAGGAACGTTAAATCGACTTAAATCTGCCCACTTTTCCTTTATACTCACTCCAAACTATACATTTTATTCACTGTGTGAAGCTCCATAAAACTCCTGGCACATTATAAACGTCCCGCATGCCTGAGCTTTCAGTGGGTCTGCGGTATTGTCAACTTGTCCTTGTTCCAAAAATGCGCACGCTCCCCACGACGTACTTAAAAGACAATTCGCCTCTTTCAGAGATTATTATTGCGCTCCCATCAATTGAGCAGCAAGTCACGATTTTTTCTTTCATTCCCAAACTGAAGGGACCCAAACAGGAAATACATTCCACATGACCTCAGAGAGAGCGTCGCCAAAAAGCCTAATTCTACAGGCTCGCTACAACGGCCAAGAGCTTCTCGCTCTGTTTTCAGTGCAAAGGGAAAAAAAATGTTGAGCTTTAAAGCTACAGAGAGGGGATCTGCGAACCGTTTACATCGGGGATTTGTTTGGTATTTACATCCAAACTTTATCCCCAGTTTGTTTCTAAAGATAAAGGTACTTTTTGCCTAGACGTGTGAAACCGTCAGCGCTTTAAACTAAGAAATAAGAGGAAAAAGAAGCTCTTTTTACTTTTAAAAGCCAAAGCAAAGGAATCTTTTACACTACTTACAACAAGGATGTGTTTCGCATTTCCGAGGAAAAATCCTACAAGCTGATGGGGTGAAATGATCACTGAGGTCACAACAAACTAGGCAAACTGTTAATCTGGCAAATTATATCAGCAAAAAACATGTTGCATGGGTTTATGGTTTAACTGCTATATGTAAATATGCACACTCACTTAGAACCTTTCTCAGAACAGATTTAAGAAAAAAAAGTTTGATTGGTGAATGAGGCCCGATGTTTAGATGTCGTAAGTCGTCAACATCTAAACATCGCGCCCATTCCTGCCGTCTTAATTATCGTCAGACAAACAGACAAAAAGACTGAAATGTCCACACAAAATCTACGGATGTCTACTTTTATAGTTCAGGTAAAGGCTACATTAAGACGGATCCACTTTCACTTTACATAATCCGCCGACTGAACGTATTTTAAAGCAGCGACAGAGTTTTGACTGCGTTTATATTTGCTTGCGTCCTTTTAAATCTGGGCACATAAAACGTGAGTGCTTCAAGTCTTATTTTGTTCTGGCTGCCCAAACAACAGGCAACTTAATCATGCACAAAATACGTTTTCACTCGCTCTGGTCCATTAGCAGAAACAGTGCATTTAAAACCGAGAGAAAAGAGCACAGCGCTACAGAAAAATCACATTTCTTCATTGTATTCACAGCAATGTAAAGTGATATTTCACAAAAATAGCCCAAAAAGAAGCCAAAAGATATTAAGTGAGGGAAAAAAGTGGACTGGGATCGACTCAAGCTAAAACACTGGCATCTATTTAACATCTTTAAAAACAAGCATTTAGAGCTATTCCTGAATCTCTATTCTAATTTATAGCCATCAAGTAGAGACTGAAGGATCAATCAGCTATGTATCGGTCGATCTCCAGCCCAAATATGTGGCCGATTTGAGGATTCGTTTCTGATAGCACATTAACATCCGAGCACTACTTTTGGCTTAGCTTACACTGCATTAGCTTCAAGACCTACAGCTTTAGCATAAGATAAAAAAAATATAAGACGCAGAGCTACAAAAGCAATCGTATCTCAGCCCTTTCAGCACATTTAAACACCCATCCGTAAAGCAGGAGGACGGTTTTGTCCTGTTAGCCGTGCCGGTTTCGTCGGCTCTGGTTATTTCAATGGTTATGCTAACATGAAGCAACAGAATGTTACTGCTGCACCGTTTAAGGCGGAACAGGATTCTTGGAAAAAGAACCTGACTTCAGCTGCTGAAAGAGTTAAAGGCATGAAAAGAGACTTAAAGAGAACCACTCTGCTCTGTTTCTCCACAGGTGGGCAGCATTAACTCATTTTTGCTGCTTCACAGACTCAGTAGGTCAGTACTGTTGTCCTGTTCACTAACGTTTGTGGTCAGCTTTGCAGTAGCAGTTGAGGTGACAGCTTGCAAACCCACAGCCTAGCTAACATTAGCTACGTTACTTCCTATGTTACTGTTTGCTCTAACGTTCTACCGTGGCATTTGTCCGTAAAATGTTTACGAAGTGTTTTATGGCCACAAAGATCTTAAAAAATTTAATAAATGAAAAAGAAAGGCTGTCTACCTTGGTAATGCATTTCCATTATCTTGGAGGGCAGAGCTTCTGAAGGAGCAGACAAGGGTCCCTCTATTTGTTTTGCCGTAAAGAATCACCTCTGTGCATTTAAATGTGCCACCCAGCCCCGCCCTCGATCGGTATCGGCTACCTTTCAGCACGAACGGCAATCGGTCCGTTTCTACCGTCCAGTTCATATATAACTTCCCCTGCCTTTAATTTCAATGTCACCAGCAGAAGTCACAACAAATATATACACTACATGCTGTGTTACGAGTGACATCCCTTAAAAATGCTGCTGCTTTTGCAATACTAAAAAACTGTCCTGATGCAGTTTTCAGATGGAAAAAAATGTGCATTAGATGTGTTTTTGGCTTTTGACACAGTCATAACGCCTCACCAGGAAATCTAAGCTAAGCAAAATTTATTTTAATGATTCACAAACGATATAAATCATGGATGCACCGATATTTCACGTAACTATTGGTGCCAATCCATAAAAACATCCAAACTGAGACTGATCTACCCGAATATGCACAACGGAGAAATGCTGTTGATTTCTGTGGAGATACAACTGTAGCAAAATGAATAAAATTCCAGAATACAAAATATAAATGTCATCAAATGTTGCTGCGACATATCAGTCAAATCTAATCCAATAACGATTAGGAATTTTTAAAGCAATTATCTGTCGACACAGACACACGTCCCTAAATAAAATTCTAACCAAACTACACAGCAGTTCAAAATTGTAATATTTGTCAAAAGACTTTACATCATGCATTCTGAGCTTTAACGGCACATCCACATAATTACAGAAAGAAAATGGTCCAAACTCTTAGAAGCTTATTAGAAAAAACATTTATAAAATATAAGTAAATATCAAAATCAAAATAAGTAAACTGAACCACACACACCAAAAAAAAACAACAAAACATATATGCATATACATATGTATATTTAAAAAAAGTGTGTGTGTGTATAAATATACATATTTAATATGTGTATGTATATAACATGTTTTATATAATACATTAGGTATATCACTCAAACAATTTCTCCCACATGCACTCAAAGTGGTGTGGGGGGGGGCAACAACTAGTGACAGCTTTTGTTTACTTCCAACGTCACCACACAACCGGTTTCCTCATTCCTCAGTTACGTCACCGGAATTCAATTCGGAAACAATAACCTGCCAAGTTCACATCTTCAGCTACCAGCCAAAGAGCTTTTAGACTCCTGAATGTCACTCTAAACTAACCAGGTTGACTTCAGTGCATTTATACACCGAAGACAGACTGTAGGAGTAACACTGATACACAATACAACCAAAAGTATTCAGACAGCCCTTCTAATTAACAACCACTGCTGCTTTAAGTCGCACCCACTGCCGATACAAGCGTCCAGTTGTGCACAGCTTGTATAATGTATCACAGATAAGCACTGTCCAGCAGAATGGGAAGCTGTGGAGCAGCCTAAGGTCACCATGTCCAAGGCCAAGCAAGGACTAGAGTGGTACGGCATTGGGCTGTGGAGCAGGGGAACTGCGTTCTCTGGAGTGATGGAGCTTCACACAGTACCTCTGGGATGAGTTTGTGATCCAGAACTGACCATCCAACATCAGTACCTGACCTCACTAATGCTCTTGTGGCTGAATGCAATCAAATCCTCTCCGACATCTAGTGTACAGCCTTCCCAGAAGAGTAATCTCACCATTTCAGAACAAACACTAGAAGAGCAGGTGTCAAACTTTAGGACATTCAGAGCAATCCGAAGAGAAATATGACCTCTTGTTAGGTCACACGACCCAGGCTGACTGCTGTGTCGTTTTGTGTGCCATATAGCTCCAGATCAACAACGCTAGCACTGATCACAGATCTACAAAACATCTGCAGCTTTGGCAGTCTGCTCCAGCCCGGTTTCATCGAAACTCGCGTAGCAGCATTCAAGCCACTCTCCAGCAAATCTGCACGGTTAGCCCTTTACAGCCATGAAACACAGGTCTCGCTGCCTGACTGAACCCTGTGGTCCCCCAGACTGCCTTCCTGCGGCTCCGTGTCCAGCTTAAAAACAAACAGACTTCATTTCAATGTGACCCATCGACAGGAGCACCTCATACCCACCCAGCGAGCTGGAAGGAGTGAAGGTAGCGACACTGACGCTGGTTAAATAAGCGCAAATACGGTTTAGCGAGCTGGGAATGACCGCTAGGAGCTCTGCTGCAGCTCCTAAACCACATATTCCAGTTTTGCTGCACACTTACTGTGATAATCGGATTCAATTAGCTTACCAAGTCGTGACTAATCCACGTTTGTGCTCCCAAGCAAAAAAATATACAAGGCTGGTCACCTTCGGGCTCGAATTTTTCCGTTCCACCTTAAACCTCAGGCGACAGAACGTAAATGCTGCACCACTTAAGGTGGAACGGGACAATTCGAACGAGAAGCGGGCGAATAGGAAACCAAGCAAAAAAACACAGCAATAAAAATCTCGGTTTTAGTCAGACAAACGCTGGAAATGCACCTCGAGCTCTCCGGGCGGGTAAAATGTGCTGTTTAAACGCCCTCTGAGTGAAAAGTCGTACGTTACGCAGCGGGCAGCCGTTGGCTGAGGGAATCTCCTCAGCGTTAGCTACCAGGCTAACACGAGCTAATGCTAGCCGCGGTTTAGCCCCGCCGCTTCGACACACGGTGTAAAAACACGAACGGAGCCTGAAACGAACCTGTCTGTCCGCGCTGGGCGAGCTCGGCGTCAGTAGCGATGGCGTTTACAGCGTGTAGTCCCCGCTGTCCCGGTTATTAGTCGATAAAAAGCAGCGTTGGTGCTGAGAGGAGCTGCTGCTGATCGCATCACTCACCAGCTGTGGGACCCACACCCTCCTCTCTCTCTCGCGCTCTCGCTCGCTCTCGCGCTCGCTCGCTCTCTCTCTCGCTCTCTCGCTCTCTCTCTCACACACACACACACACACACACACACACACACACACACACACACACACACACACACACACACACACACACACAGGGAAATGACGAGCCTCCATATCCGCTCTCTGTGTTTATTTATATATTTAGCGATATATTTATTTACCAGCTCTCAGTTTCATCTATTTTCTACAGTATTTACTCGATTTCTTTGTTTTTAAAGATTATAAAAGGCAAGAATTTTTTTTTGTATGAAACTAAGAGCTTCACTACAGCTGATTGAATGAATAAATAAATAAATAAATAAATAAACGGAATTTGATATTGGATTTAATGTAAAAATCTGTTATAAAAATACGAAGACTATTTGCTTATTTTTGTATGTATTTTTATTTATTTACATACCCTCAGTTACACAAGTTTTCAAGTATTTATTCGATTCCATTTTTAAAAAATACGTATACTATTTGTAAATGAATATACATTAATAAATAAAAATAATAATAAATAATAAATAAACGGAATTTAATATTGTAATATTAAATATACGAAACTACGAACACCATTTGTATGCTTATTTATTTATTTATTTATCTACACTACCTACTCTCATTACCTACCCTACCCTCGTTACCTACCTAGTTTAGTTCTTAACTATATGTGTGTGTTATATATATATATATATATATATATATATATATATATATTTATATATACACGTTCATTCATATATTCATACATTCATATATCTGTTAGATATGTACATACAGACATACATATACATATTTCAAAATAAAAACATAAAAACCTGAACTCGGTCTATTTATTTATTTATATTCCTCTTTATCCTCCATTTAATATTTTTTTCCATTATGTTTATTCTTATTATTTATTTTTTCAATACAGTCTGTAAGGTCAGAATCTCATAGCCTACTGTGGCACCAAAAAACGTTTAATATAAAATAAAAGTACGGCAAACTCAGGTTAATGAAATGTATTTTTAATTTGTTCCCTAAACTGCGTTTATTTTTGTTATTTGTTTTTTTATTCTTCATACTTTGTACAGATTCTATAAGACAAAGATATCATAGCACTGAGACCTTTGAAGACGTTTGTGACAGCAACAAAAACACACTTCAGAAAATAAATAAATGCTGTGATCAAAGTCTCGCAGCGTTAAAACGCTGCGCTGCGTTTGTCAGACCGTTTACTCCGCTCTTCAGCAAATTAATTCAGCGGTAGACAGTAAAGCAGTGAGAGGCTGTGTGGTGCTGAGTGGAAGCTGCGGGCTGTTCTGCCCTCTAGCGGTCAGTGACGGAACATGAAGGAGCTTCCTGTCCTGCAGGGGGCGACAGAGTCACTGAGGAGTAAAATGGGCTTCTGATTTATTGTTTATGGGGTTATAGTTTGGGTCGTGTCTTATTCTCCATACATATAGTCGATTTATAGCAGGTTTCAGCAATACCTGCAAACACGCGCTTTACCAGCATAATAAAAGCTGCATAATTACTGTAATATGTGTTCATATTGATATTAATACTATATATGAAATGAATATTAAAAACATTCATCAAGATATTAATGCTGTCATATATGTACAACATAAATATTTACACATGAAATTGTATTAAATGTTAATATATTTACATGAAATGTAGCTAAACTTGAGGTAGAGTTGATAGAGTCACCATTTTTAAATCAATATCGCAATTTAAGAGTGAAATTTTAAAATCACAAGAGCTGCAACTTTTTAAAATCATAGTCTAGATAGATAGATAGATAGATAGATAGATAGATAGATAGATAGTTAATGGTAATAGTAATAAATCAATAAATTAAAAATAAATAAATGTAAGTAGTCTGATTATAAATAGCAATAAAAGTAAATTAAAATAACAGCAAAATAAATAAAAACAATAACAAAAATAAAAATAATTATAAACACCAGCCTTCCAAATAAATGTAAACAACAGATATGAGACGTTACAGATACAGATATGATACATTGTCAACAACATTGTCTTAAGTTTGAAATTTAACTCAGTTAGACCAATCAGAGGCAACCAAATCTCCATGTGTTGTGACAGCCTGGGGCACCACATTCAGGGTTTGTGGACAAAAAACAGGCCTGAACCTGAATTTATAGCAGTACATTGCAACTTAACTTGCACTGATATATATTTTTTCCCCAAATTGTTCAGGCCTGCCTTGAGGCTACTGAAACTGAGCTCAGTATTGAAGCTCAGTACTCAAACGCTGAATGATTTTCTTGTATATCTGCAGAAAATAACATTCTCAGTATGAAAAATAAGCTAATATTTGATAGCATACCAAGTAATAACACAATAAGTCAGAAAGTAAGGCTTAGATAAAGCTTTATTTGTGCAGCTTTGGACTATCTGTCTAATAAAGTAAAGATGAAGATGTCTACAACACAAATATAGCCATTCTATTTACTACTACTGCTATTTAAAAGCACCAGTGAACTTATATGTCTTTTTTAAAATAGATTGTATGCTAATACCAAATGTCTCTGGCCTCAGGCAGTGATGAACATCCATGAACATTTCATGCAATAGTTTTTAGAGGTGGATGTCTGGTTCCCATCACCACCACTGTAAACAATTCTGAGTCACTAAGTTACTTCAGAACCCAGCATTTCACACCAAACCGCTCTAACCATTAAATTATACAGACATTTTGAAAAATTGGCAGAACTGCCCTTTAACATCACGATTTTCAGCTGCAGTGATAATGTTTTACCAGAAGGGGGCAGCAGAGAGTGGAACACCTGCTCAGTACTTAAGAAAGGAGCGCTGTCTGTATGCAGCCCTGCCCTCAGCTCCCAATTAAGAAGTAAAATGGGCGGGGACAAAGTCCTGCCAGCATGTAGCCCCGCCCACAAGCCCAGTTTGAGAGGGTCTTCGGAGAGGGCGTCCTTCAGAAGCGCCTCCACTGACGGTCACTCCCCGGCAGCAGCGTGGTGGGACAGCAGCGCCTTCACGATGGGACTCACCAGTGACCCACACTTCCAGAAACTGGAGCAATGGTACAAAGCCAACGCTGCCAGCCTCAACATGAGGCAGATGTTCAAGGCTGACCAGCAGAGGTTCAGCAAGTTCAGGTAACTTCACTTCTTACTTACAGATTCGAAGGGGAGGTCCACCAATTTGTCAAAATTTCAGCACATTTAAATCAAAGAGTGATTCAGAGTGGTTTGGTGTGAAATGGTTCAGATGTCTTTACAGTGGTGGTGATAGGAACCAGGGGGCACCATGACTACAACACAAATATAGACATTTTATTTACTATCCAGAACCACCAGTGAACCTACACGAGTCTTCTGAGTTTATATGGAATGTTGATGATGGAAAATAGTGGAAAACTTTTTGGGGTCTATTTTTTTTATAATGTCCTGCATGTATTTTACATTTTAATTTTTCAGATCAAAGCCTTATTTTAAAAGTACCACAAAACAATGTCTGAGGCATCAGGCAGTGTTTTCATTACCATTTCGTGTAATAACTTTCTTTCTGAGGGAGCTTTTAGAGGTGGACGTCTGGTTCCTATCACCACCACTGTGAACAATTCTGACTCTAGAACAGAGCATTTCACACCAAACCACTCTGAATGACTCTGTTTATACCTTAACTATTTAATTATGCAGGAATTCCGAAAATACAGTGGAGTTCCCCTTTAAAGGTCTAGACTGTACAGTGATCAGTAGGGGTGTAACGATACGATCGATTCTGACCAGTGCATCAGTTCTAAAGGTGATAAATCCATACATTCTATCGTGAAACCACACAGTGTTGCCGTCCTGACAAAACCATATTAAAAATAGAGGAAATTTTCCAATTTTATTTTAAAAAATTTTGGAGCATTTTTATTGGTCCGTTCATCACAAAGCACTCACATAATGTAAAGAGCAGCTGCTGCGCTCATAAGGTGTAGAAAAATAAATGTATGCAGGGAAACCGCTGAGAGTGATGGTGATCATTCAAGCCGAGTTTGATAAATGTTTTATATTATATCTGATATACAAAAGTTTGTGCACCCACATATTTTGTTGATTGTCTAAGTGAAAGTGTTTCTCTGCAGAGAACAAACTTCTGCACATTTTAATCCCTTAATAAGCCATGGGCCCTCTGGCAGGCCCAAAACTTTATTACAGCTTTATTACACACGTCTATAACCTCAGAATAGCTTAGGTTTGCATTTAAGTCCCTGTAGTTACTGAATAATATGCCTTTGTATGATAAAAACCTGAATTGTTAAGTGGTTAATGCACAGTCGCTGTTTATTTGCTATTTTTGATATTATTTAACATTTTAGGGAAAAATAAGGCATAAAATGCCTGTTCAAAGGATATAGCACATTTTATAGTGCTTTCTATTTTTTTTATTCAACTAATAAATAAATGTGTGCGCTAACATTAGCAGAAATGCCATATTTAAGTTTGTTTGTGTTGAATTGTTTTCAGTAAATCAACAAAAACAAGTAATTTAACCAGTGGCGTCCAAACTCTTTAGGTGGAGCTTAATAGTCCAAATAGTCCAAATGTCAGATTTGTTTTCTGGTTACAAAGATTATGTTGTGCTAAAGCTTTAATGACAGTGTAAGATATGTTGGTGGCAATGTAATGACAGTGTAAGCTATAATGACAGTGTATTGACTGTGTGAGATATAAATGTAATACAGTAAGCGTTCCTACTGTACTACAGCGTGAGGCCACCAAGCAGTTGCATGTGCTATTTATTGACATGCAGCAGATATTATGCAACTCTGAGAGCTGAAAGGCTTCTGTTTAATGGCTGCTCATGTATGTGTAAGTTGAAGGCCATAAATATACAGGCTAAACAGGAGCACTTTAAAAAAATCACAGTAAAATTACAGCAAATTACTGGCAACTACTTTTACACCATGTCAAGGTTTTGTGAATTTGCAGAAAAATACTGCATGTTCCCTGTGGAGGATG